TTGAATTTTCTTTTTCTTTTCTTTTTTGTGCTTTAATAGGAATTTATTTTCAGAACTATGCTTCTAATATGGATTAAATTTTAAAATCAGTTAATTCATATATAAAGACTACAGAAACGACATGTATAGGAGACTGGGTAGCATCAGGTAGAGATATGGAGGTCAGATTCAGGAACTAACAGAAACCAGTTTGTTCATGCCCTGGAAGTAGGATTTCTCTCTTATACTCATGACTTCAAAGTGTTTGTTCATATGAAAGATTAAATGTCAAAGACAATCAGGCCTTGAGACTGCCACACCTGTTCTATACACCCCCAGGACAGTACATGGCAAATACAATTGGAAGACATAGCCAGAAGGTAAATCCAGCTATTTCTTGCCCCAAGACCATCTTTGGATGGCATTGAGACGCAATGGAAAAAGACAGATTTTGGAGGCACAGGGCCCAAGTATGATTCACATTTCTAGCAATTAGTATCTATTTGACTTTTGGAAGTCACTTAACCTCTCTAGACCTCAGTTTCCTCATCTATAAAAGGAAGGGATAGACTAGATGACTGAAAGCTCCATTCCATAACTAAATCTATGATCCAAAGTCCTAAAATTGATCTTACTCATGAGATGTTTTGTCTGTGTTTTGTCTGCAAGTACTTCCCCTGCCTTGTGATTATTCAGGATAGAGGGCATGTGGTATCGGTGTCCCTAATCTCCTAGCAGCCTGATAAGTATTACAAAATTTGAGAGTATACTATTACTCCTAGTAAATAGCTTTTGGTCTAGGAGAAATTGGCTGCATGTTTTGAAATTTTCCTTAAAATAAACTCTAAATAGTCTGGTATGAAATTTTTCTTATTGTAGTGTTTTAATATCAGCTTTCTTTTTCTTTTCTTATTCAACCCTCTGAAGCTAATTATGATGCTGTTCATTTTAGTCTGCCAGGGAATAATTAGGCTCTTTCTTTTGATTCATATGGAAATGGTATGTATATAGATACATAAATATAATGTGTTTAATAATTATGCCTATTTCTTGAATGCATGCATCTAACATGTTATAGATTCCATCATCTCATATATGCTACAGATTATTTAGTCATCAATTCATGCTGTGAGAATGTTCACTGTTAAATTTACTTTGAAAATTAAAAGTGGTAATATTCATGAACAATTTTTATTAATTTTTTCCATGCTGTAAATAAGTCAGTAGAAAAAAATGTGCATTTTTGTTCCAATTATTCTGAAAAGGTTCTAACAAATGCCTATAGATCTTTATTTCAGTCTTTAACTGTTAAGAGTAATTAATTTGCATTTGCCTGCAATTCTATTGCTTTACTATACTGTGTCTAAGCACTCATTAAAGAATATAAGCACAAATTATATATAGTTTCCTGGAGCATCTTTGTGAGAAAGAAAAAAGGCAACTCAGATTTGTATCTAGCATTTTGGCATAAGTAGATTAGAAAACAAATTCCATTCTCTGATTGCAATCCTGTCATTATAATGGAGATAATTTAATTTTGTTTGCATGCTCTTTACTATAGCTATGGCTGTCACCACTAATAAAGCTCAACAGGTTTTACATAGCACATACAACTGTGTCTGGATAGCATTTTCTGAAACCTAAACAAGATTTTCAAATTAGTGCATTGAGCTTACTAGCAATATGTTTTCCCTGAAAAATAAGGAAGGTTATTTCTTTCAGGAACTTTTTGTTTTCACCTCCAGCAATCTAGAAAACAAGACAGGGATAGGGTGAAAATATCCAACTTTTCCTCTGTAGGTCATCCAGGTATAAGAGATCAGAAGGGCATTTATGCAATTCTCTGAGCATTATAACTTCTATTGGAAAAACAGGAGTTGGGCAGCCAATTAAGGGAAGCAGCCTACTGACTGCTTCGGGCTGGGAAAATGTCAACATCGATTTTAGGTTCTCTACTTTATACCAATCAGTGATGGACTTGGGTCCAGGTAGTGGTCCTTTCCAAGTCTGGGGCTAAATTAAATTTATAAACAGCCAAATTAAACTTAGCTCCTTTCCTCTGTTCAAGCAAATTCTTCATTTGTATTAGTGAGGATTAATAGAAAATGAAAATCTTTTCCAAGTCACTGCTATTCACTTCAACAACTATTTCTGCTCCTACACTTTCCTTCCTGTTTTTTAAGTTGCTTTACCAAGCGATGCAACACAACACAATCAAAAAAGAGAACCAGAATGAAATGAAAGTTGATAACAGAGAATTACCAATATCTATAGAAATAAAAAGCATAAATTTCCTCAGGGACTTTTTGATATTGAAAGAATATTTAAGGAAGAATTAATTGAGAACTAATTTCTCAAATTTTCTTTTAGGATTTAAAATCAGAATCATAGTCTAGTAGAGGGTAGGAAGACATAGGTTCTCACACTAATTCTCCCACTCTAGCCAGCCATGTAACCTTAATCTCTTGAAGTCTAGCCCAGCATTGTTTTTGTGATATGTGGCCTATGAAAAGTTTCATTATTTAATTAATCACTGCTGTCATTACCCATCATTTCAGAAAAGATGCTTAAATATCACTTTTAACTGCTACTAATTTCAAAAACACAAACAAGCAAGAAATAAGTGAGAAATCACCAGACATCTATAGAAGGAAGTACCACTTCAATCACTGCATTATGGATATTAATATTAGAGAATTTTTTCTTTGAAATGTTATTGGTGTCAGTAATTCCTGTCTCTTGTTTAAAAAAGAAACAGTGGAGGATAATAGAGAAGCATATATTATCAGCCTGATTTTAGATGAGACAAGAATTATTTATAACTTATATAGGGTGGACAGTAGCTAAAGGAGATCCATTTCTTACTTTTTAATATAGATTGTCAACATTCATAATCAGTTGTTTTTTAACTGAAGGTTTATGAACTTAAAAAATAATAAGCATCTTTCATTATAAGTGGTTTCTTTCATAATCCTATGTATTTTATTTTATGTATTTAAAATATTCTTAGAAGGGGTCATAGATTTCAAGACACTGCCAATGGGATCCATAATATATGGAAAAGGTTTACTCTTACACTAAAGCAAAATAAATAAAGAGCCTGCACCCAATTTAGCAAGTTCTTGACAGCCCTTGAAATGATGCTAATAACCCAGACACTAAAGGAAAAGAGATCTACCCATATCGTTGCCACTGTTTGCATGACTCCTTCTGAGAGTCAGTGAAGCAGTGAAACTGACGGCCACAACTTTAAGAACCAGTAGAATGATTATGCACATTGCTGGTAATAGCCTTTGCACATAAGCAGCAAATCTTTCAAGGGAGAGACAGGAGGAGGTGTGTTCTAAGCAGACCAAACTCCTACCAATTCCTGGATCACCATCTCTCCTCAGACCCTGGTAAAAGAAGACCAAGTTGAACAATCCAAGAATCCTGGGAATATCACATTCCCCAGGCCACCTGCTCTACTTCCAGTTCCACCCCCGAAGCCATTGTCCAGGGAAGCAACCTTTGTAGAGACATAACCCCGACATGCTTTCATTCCCTCTGGCTGCCACAAGTATTGAAGACCCAGAAAAGTTCTCACCATCAAAGTCCTTGACTCTGTCAAATATTCCAATATCAGAAAGAGATATGGTTTATTCATGAAAATGACACTCAAGAAGATGCATTAACTTACCTTGCTGCTTCACCCTAAAATCATTGGACCTTTCTATCTGCCCTGCATTTGAGCCCTCATATAGGTGCTACCTTCCTCTGTTATAATGTGATCTCTTTGAACACATGTATGTCATGCTTTTCCCATCTGTATTCCCAGTGTTTGCTGCACATTAAACATTTAATACATGTTTGCCTTTGAAAAAAATTCTGGTATCCATCCATTCATTTATCTAGTTATCTCTGTCTATAGGAGCTACCAACTAAAGGGGTACAGAATCTGAACCAGGTTTCTAGTGAAACTATCTGACAAAACCATGGAATCCATCCACTTCTTTTTTATATATTTTATTTTTTCCCCAATTACATATGATTTTTAACATTTGTTTTTAAAAATTTTGAATTCCTGATGCAAAGTAAAGTGAATGGAACCAGGAGAACATTGTATACGGTAACAGCAATATTGTTCAATGAAAAACTGTGAATAATTTAGCTATTCTCAGTAATAAAATGATTCAAAAAATCCCAAAGGTCTAATGATGAAGTGTACTATCCACCTCCAGAGAAAGAACTTATATTGTTTAAACACAGACTGAAGCATGCTAATTTCACTTTCTTTCATTCTTTTTCTTTTATTCAAGTCTCCTTGTACAAAACAACTAACATGGAAAAGTTTTACATGATTACACACATATGACCTATGTCTGATTGTTTATCATTTCAGGAAGGGGGGAGATGAGACAGGGAAGAAGGGATAAAATTTGGAAATAAAAACTTAAAAAATGCTAATAATTATTTTAACATGTAATTGGGGGGGAAATAAAATATATCAAAAAAAAAATAAAATTTTGAGTTCCAAATTCTCTCCCTCCTTTTCTCCCTTCCTAAGATGGTAAGCAATTTGATATAGATAATATATGTACAATCATGCGAAACATATTTCCATATTAGTCATATTGTGAAAGAAGACAGACAAAATGAAAAAAACAAGAAAGAGAAAAAATAATATGCTTTGTTCTGCATTCAGACTCCATCAGTTCTTTCTCTGGAAGTGGATAGTATTTATCATCACAAGTCCTTTGGGATTATCTTGGATTATTGTATTGCTTAGAATACCTAAGTCATTCACAGTTTATCATTGTACAATATTTCTGTGTGAAGTGTTCTCCTGGTTCTGTTCACTTCATTTTGCATTAGTTCATGTAAGTCTTTCCAGATGTTTCTGAAATCATCCTGTTCATCCGTTCTTATGGCACAATAGTATTCCATTACAATCACATACCACAACTTGTTCAGTCATTCCCCAACTAATGAAAATCTCCTCAATTTCTAATTCTTTGCCATCACAAAAAGAGCTGCTGTAAAAAAATATGGAATACTTTTTGAATTTGCATGTCATCCTTGTGCAGGGGCAATGCTAATCTTCTCTGTATCATTCCAATTTCAGTATTTGTGCTGCTGAAGTGAATGCAAATCCATCCACTTCTAAAGAGAATTATTAATCATTTATAAAGCAGCATATAGTCTATTAAAAAACAAGTTTTTAAAGAGTCTGCTTAAATGAGATATTAAAAAAACATAAAGTGTTTAGCATAGTGCCTGGAACACACTGGGTGGTATATAAATGCTTATTCCCATCCCTTCCATCTTCCTTCCTTAAGTGGAGTCACAGTCCTCATGGACTTTGAGCCCCAAAGCCCAGAAGCACTAGAGGGGTCCCAGTAAAGGGAACCCACATCCATGAAATGGCATATCCAAAGCCTCAGGGCACCAAAGGTAAAGAGACTGCTTCCATCATGAGTCAAGTACTTGTTTTTCTTTTTTTATTTTATTTTATTTTTATTTTTAAGCAATTGGGGTTAAATGACTTGACCAGGGTCACAACAGCTAGTAAGTGTCAAGTGTTTGGTCTGAAGCCGGATTTGAACTCAGGTCCTCCTGACTTCAGGGCCAGTGCTCTATCCACTGTGCCACCTAGCTGCCCCCTCAAGTACTTGTTTTAGTGTAAGATGGTTTGCAGGTGTGGTTCATCCTCTACTTTGGGATTGGATTACAAGAAGCTTTCTTCCACATATGAATTCATTCTTGACCATGTATTTACTGATACAGATACCTGAGTAGAATTTTCTGCCACATCTATCTGCCTCCAACAGTGCTATGTAAATTCCTTGGGAAAGGTAGTCATTTAGATAAGGTTATATTTTGTGATAGGTCATGCATATGCTTGTCTATTAACACAAAACTTCCGTAAGGCATCTGACCTTAACCAAATTAAACTAGATTTAGTAAACTTTTATTTAGTTCTATGTTGGCTGAGTATTGTATTTCATGCCATACACAGTTTATTGTTTTGTTTTGTGTTTTTCATTCTGTGATTTTCAAAATAGACAATACTCCAAGGAAATGTATAAAATGTCGTGACTCTCAAAGAGCACACTTTAATGTCTGCTAGAGATATTGTTTCAGCTTTTGGTGTGGGGAAGTTATACCTGTCAAGATTATTCAAGGTCATAATGATAAATGGCAATAATGTCAAGAACTGATGAACTATTGCTGGACATCAGCCTTATTAATCATAGAAAATGAGCAAAGGCTTGAATCTGCAAAAAGATATAATGCCTTCCCTCCCCCGAAGGAAAATACCATCCGCAAAATATTACAAAAAAAAAGACCATGAAAATTTATGAACAATATTGACTTTTAAAAGATTATCTTTTTTAAAAGTATCAGGGACAGGATCTCCAGTTCCTTAACTTCACCAAGTAAGTCACTTAATCTCTCTGAGCTTTATCTATAAACTCTAACACCAGCTAATGTTCCCTTTCAGGGAAGTAGAAGTGTTACCTTCCAGTGAACTAAAAACACCCTGAACCTCAGTATCTTCATCTGCTGATCTACATTCTTTCAGAGTTCCCTTCAAACTCTAGATATATGAATCAGGATGTTGTGTCCTCTGTTGTTTTTTTCTTGAGAGAAAATTTCGGACAACATGATAGCAGTCTCTAAGTACCTGAAGGACTTTCATGTGAAATAAGAGTTAAATTTGTTTTACTTGGTCCCAGAAAGTAGAACATCTAGCAGTGGCCAGAAATTACAAAGAGGAAAGTTTCAATGTTAGGAGGGGAAAGCATCCTAAAAAATTAGTTTTCCAAAAGTGGAATTAGCTGCCTTCGGTCACTATAGCCTCATAGGTAATCACTTTTTAAACATTTTGAAGACTACATTTCCTTATTAGTTATGAGGAATATCATGGAAGGAAGAAGTCAGGTGAAAATCCTTCCAGTGTCCCTGTAATCATACCATGTAGACCACTATTTCTTCTTTATTAATTTATTTTTAATTTTCAACAATGTACTTTTGAGTTTTAAATTTTTCTCCCTCTCCCTCCTGCCCTCCTCCCCAAGACAGTGTGACATTTGATATGGGCTCTACATTTATATTCCTATTAAATGTATTTTCACATTAGCAATGCTGTAAGGAAGAATTAGAAGCAATAAGAGGAACCATCAGAAAGAGGAAACAAAACAAAACAGAATGAAAAAAAAAGAGCAAATAATATGCTTCAATCTTCATTCAAACTCCATAATTCTTTCTCTGCATGTGGATAGTATTTTGCATCGTGTGACTTTTGGAGATCCTTGCATTGCTGAGAAGGGCTACGTCTATCAAAATTAGTCCTTTCACAACTTGGCTGATATCGTGTACAACGTTCTCCTGGTTCCGCTCACTTCACTCAGCATCAGTCCATACAAGTATTTCCAGGTTTTTCTGAAGTCCTCCTGATCATCATTTCTTTTAGCACAATAGTATTCCATTATATTCACATACCATAACTTGTTCATCCATTCCCTAATTGGTGGGCATCCCCTCAATTTCTAGTTCTTTGCCACAACAAAAAGAGCTGCTATAAATATTTTTGTACATGTGGGTTCTTTTTCTATTTTTATGGTCTCTTTGGGCTACAGTCCTAGAAATGATATTGCTGGGTCAAAGTGTATGCACAGTTTTGTAGCCCTTTGAGCATAGTTTCAAATTACTCTCCAAAATGCAGCAGTTTGCAACTCCACCAACAATGCATTAGTGTTCCAATTTTCCCACATCTTCTCTAACATTTGTCATTTTTCTGTTTTGTTATGTTGGACAATCTGATAGGTGTGATGTGGTACCTCAGAGTTGTTTTAATTTGCATTTCTCTAATCAATAATGATTTAGTTCATATGACTATACATAGTTTTAATTTCTTCCTCTGAAAACTGCCTGTTCATATCCTTTGACCATTTATCAATTGGGGAATGACTTGTATTATTATAAAATTGACTTAGTTCTCTATATATTTTAGAAATTAGGCCCTTATCTGAAACACTGGTTGTAAAAATTCTCAGTTTTATGCTTCCCTCCTAATCTTGGTTGCATTGACTTTGTTTGCACAAAAACTTTTCAATTTAATGTAATCAAAATTATCCATTTTGCATTTCGTAATGTTCTCTATCTCCTGTTTGGTCATAAATTCTTCTGTTCTCCATAAATCTGACAGGTAAAATATCTCTTGCTCTCCAAGTTTGCTTATAGTATCAGTTTTTATATCTAAATCATGAACCCATTTTGACTTCATTTTGGTATATCCTGTGAGACTTTGGTCTATGCCTAGTTTCTGCTATGCTCTTTTCCAGTTTTCCCAGCAGTTTTTGTCAAAGAGTGAGTTCTTATCCCAGAAGCTGGAGTCTTTGTGTTTATCAAATAGCAGATTTCTATAGTTATTGACTACTATTTCTTGCATACCTAACCTATTCCACTGATCCACCACTCTATTTCTTAGCCAATATCAGGTAATTTTGATGATTGCTGCTTCATAATACAATGTAAGATCTGGAATGGCTAGACCACCTTCCCTGCATTTCTTTTCATTAGTTCCCTTGATATTCTGGACATTTTGTTCTTCCAAATGAATCTAATTATTTTTTCTAGCTCTATAAAATAATTTTTTGGTAGTTTGATTGGTATGACACTGAATAAGTAAATTAGCTTAGGTAGAATTGTCATTTTTATTATATTATATTATATTTATTTTATTATATTAGCTTGGCCTACCCATGAGCAACTGATGTTTTTACAATTATTTAGATCTGACTTTATTTGTGTGAAAAGTGTTTTTGCAGTTGTGTTCATGTAGTTCTTGGCTTTGTTTTGGTAGGTAGAATCCTAAATATTTTATAATTAGACCACTATTTCTAATAAAATTGCAAAATCCTCAGAGTTGGAATGGACTTCAAAGGCCATCTAGACCAGTTCTTAAACTTTTTGGAATTAAGACATGCCTTACATGCTTAAAAATTGTTGAGGATCTCAAAGAGGATTTGTTTTTGTGAGATAGCTAGGTAGACAGCTAGATATTTATATGTATGCTATTAGAAATTAAAACATATTAGTATTATGATGAAAATAATTTGACCTCCCTGTAAAGGGTCTTAGGGACCCCAGGCATCCCTAGATCACACTTAGAGAATTACTGATCTGTTCTAACTTGAAGCATCATTGGTGGCAGGAAGATGAGGAGAAGACTCCATTTAATAACAAGAATTAAATTATTGGAACCATAGGATCATAGATTTGAACTTGGTAAGGAATGCAGAATATAGTATTTTAATACAACTAACATTGGCTTACTTTCACACTAAGGTGAATATTGAGAACATTGACCTAGAGAAGGAAAGAAAAGTGCTCAGGATTTGGCAAAATGACTGAAATACATGATAGGATCCTGAAGATGTCATTTCTTTGATTTCAATATTTTTATAGCTTTGGTCCTTTTTTTTTGTTCTAACAAACATTTATTAAGCATTTATTATGTACTGGGCACTGTGCTAAATGCTTCATAAATATTTCATTTTATCATCACAACAACCTTTGGAGGTAGGTGCTATTATTATTCCTATTTTATATATGAGGAAACTGAGGTAGGATGGGTAAGTCACTTGTTCATGGTCACATAGCTATTAAATGTCTGAGGCCAGTTTTGACTTGGGTCTTCTTAGCCTAGCTGCACTCATCATATAATCTTTAGCAATAGCCAGTAGAGTTATTGGTGGAGAATATGTTATGGTAGATTGATGCTAGGCCAAGTAGCAATACATTTGACTTTCAGATAAATAGGATGGATGAGAATTTATTGCTGTTGCATATTTCATGCTGGAAGACTCATACAATCTTATATACATATATATATATATATATACACACACACATACATATATATATACACATAAATATATATATATACACATACATATATAGTCATTTTTGCCACTTACAAAGATATGTGTATATATATATATATATATATATATATGAAATGTAGAAAAGTGTCACTATAAGTGCTTTTCACAAGTGTATTATACTTTAGACTGGGAATGTACTGACAATTGTTTAACAACTCTCTCCAGGGGAAAAATAAATATGTTAAGTATACTTGTA